TTCAAGTCCCAGGGCCTTTGTTTGTGCTGTTCCCTTTGCCTGGGTTTCCATTCCTTCTCACATTCATACTTGAAGCACAGCTCAAATGTGGCCTCCTCTGTCAGACTTCACAGTTGCTGTTGTTGTTCAGTCACTCAGTTGTGTCTGACTCTTTGCTACTTCATGAACTGCAGCACACCAGGCTTCCCAGTCCTTCACCATCTTCTAGAGCTTGCTCAAACTTCTGTCCATTGATTCGATGATGCCACCCAACCAGAGGCTTTTCTATGTCCTCTGTCTTGCTTTCCCACTCACAAATTAGTCATTTAAGTGTCTATGACTTCAGGCTGGGCAATGAGCTACTTGAGAGCAAGTACAGTGCGTGTATTTGCTACCTATTCCTGAGTAAGAAATTTCCTCAAAACTTAATGTTCAAAACAACAATAAACATTTTCCACCTCACAGACCTTACAACATCTGCAGTTCAAGGATTCAGAAGTGGCTTAGTTGGATGGCTCAGGCTTGAATCTCTCGTGAAGTAGTGAAGGTGTTAGGTAGGGTTAGTCACCTGAAGGTTTGACTGAGGCTGAAAAATCCACTTTCCAGATGGCAAACTTAAGTGACCAGCAAATCAGTATCAGCTGTTGGCAGAAGGCCTCTGTTATTCTTTACGTGGATCTTTTCATATGGCTGTTTGGGCATCCTTACAACATGGTGGCTGCCTTTCTTCAGAGCAGCCATTCTGGGAGCAAGAATAAGACTACAATTTCTTTTATGACCTAGCCTTGAAGGTCACCCACCATCACTTCTATAAGGTTCTATTGATCACATAAGACAACCATAATATAGTGTAGAAAATTATGCACAGATATAAGTAAGGATCATTTGGGGTCATCTTTGAGGCTGGCTACCACAGAGAATATCTATTTTTTTCTTTTGTCTATCCATCACTCTTTGTAGGAAACACATTTCATGTTATATAATCAGGTTGAACCTTCCCCATCTGAGGGTGAAGCACATAACCTAAGCCTGGCCAACTTGATATTCCATTGCTCTGATCAAAGTGGTCAGTTAAATGGGTGTGTGACCAACTAGAGATAATCAGTCTTCCTTGACTTTTGGTATACGGATTCCAAGGAAGACAGGGTCTCTATTCTGCTATTTTGAGATCTAAGAATGATCTTAGCTGGAGTTTCTGAAGGCCATTTGTTCAGGTCAAACTGGAGGAAGCTATCTTTAGTAAGAGAAAATGAGGCCAACTCACAAAGAGAGGAAAAACGAGTGGAGATGAATAGAGAAAAAAGAGCCCTGATGAAATAATTTGAGCTCCCTTGATCCAGTCAAGCCTGAAATTAACACAGACTTTTTAGTTACATGGGTCAATATATTTCCTTTTTTATTTAAGCTAGTTTAAGTTGGATTCCTATCGCCTGCAACAAAAACAACTCCAACACATTAGCAGGGTCTGTATCTTACTCCTCTTGAGTTTCCAACATTGGGTTCTAAGTACTCAACTCAAGTTGGATGAATTTGTTGTTGTTGTTGCTGTTCAGTCACTAAGTCCTGTTTTGACTGTTTGCAATCCCATGGACTTCAGCATGCCAGGCTCCTCTGTTCTTCACTATCTCCTGGAGTTTCCTCAAATTCATGTCCATTGAGTCAGTGATGCTATCTAACCATCTTGTCTTCTGCCACCAGTCTTTTCTACTGAGCCAGCTCTTCACATCTGGTGGCCAAAGTATTGGAGCTTCAGCTTAAGTGTCAGTACTTCCAATGAATATTCGGGGTTGATTTTCTGTAGGATTGACTGGTTTGATCTCCTTGCAGTCCAAGGGAATCCCAAGAGTCTTCTCCAGGACCACAATTTGAAAGCATCAGTTCTTCAGTGCTCACCCTTCTTTATGGTCCAACTCTCACATCCATACATGACTACTGGAAAAACCACAGCTTTAACTATACGGATCTTCGTTGGCAGTGATGTCTCTGCTTCTTAATATGATATCTAGGTTTGTTGTAGCTTTCCTTCAAAGGAGCAAGCATCTATTAATTACATGTTTACAGCCACAGTCTGAATTGATTTTGGAGCCCAAGAAAATAAAATCTGTCACTGTCTTTACTTTTTCCCATCTATTTGCCATGAAATAATGGGACTGGATGCCACGATCTTCATTTTCTGAATGTTGAGTTTCAAGCCAGCTTTTCCACTCTCCTCTCTCACCCTCATCAAGAGGCTCTTCAGTTCCTTTTTGCTTTCTGTCATTAGAGTCGTAATATCTACATATCTGAGGTTGTTGATATTTCCCCTGGTAATCTTGATTCCAGCTTGTGCTTCATCCAGCCTGGCATTTCACATTACTCTGCATCTAAGCTAAATAAGCAGGGTGACAATATACAGCCTTAACATACTCCTTTCCCAATTTTGAACCAATTCATTGTTCCGTGTCTGTTCTAACTGTAGCTTTTTGACCTGCATACAAGTTTCTCAGGAGACAGGTAAGGTGGTCTGTTACCTCCATCTCTTTAAGAATTTTCCTCAGTTTGTTGTGATCCACACAGTCAGAGGCTTTAGCATAGTCAATGAAACAGATGTTTATCTGGAACTCCCTTGCCTTCTCTGTGATCCAACGAATGTTGGCAATTTAATCTCTGATTTAATCTCTGCCTCTTCAAAACCCGGCTTCTACATCTGCAAGTTCTTGGTTCATGTACTGCTAAAGCCTAGTGTGAAGGATTTTGAACATAGCCTTGCTAGCTTGTGAAATGAGCACAATTGTAATAACATTTTTTCGTGTGACCCTTCTTTGAGATTGGAATGAAAACTGACTTTTTCCAGTCCTGTGACCACTGCTGAGTTTTCCAAATTTGCTGACATATTGAGTGTATCACTTTAACAGCATCATCTTTGGGGATTTGAAATAGCTTAGCTGAAATCCAATCACCTCCACTAGCTTTGTTTGTTCAGTTCAGTTCAGTTGCTCAGTTGTGTCCTACTCTTTATGACCCCATGGACCATAGAGTCCATGGAATTCTCCCGGCCAGAATACTGGAGTGTGCAGCCTTTTCCTTCTCCAGGGGATCTTCCGAACCCAGGTCTCCTGCATTGCAGGCCAATTCTTTACCAGCTGAGCCACAAGGAAAGCCCAAGAATATTGGAGTGGGTAGCCTATCCCTTCTCCAGGGGATCTTCTCCACCCAGGAATCAAACTGGGGTCTCCTGCATTGCAGGCAGATTCTTTACCAACTGAGGTATCAGGGAAGCCCTCAAGCATTTGTTTGTAGTAGTGCTTCCTAAAGTCCACTTCACTTCACATTCCAGGATGTCTGGTGCTAGGTGAATACCATCATGGTTATCTGGGTCATTAAGACCTTTTTTGCATAGTTCTTTTATGTATTCTTGCCACCTCTTCTTAATCTCTTCTGCTTCTGTTAGGTCCTTACCATTTCTGACCTTTATCATGTCTGTCCTTGCATGAAATCTTCCCTTGATATCTCCAATTTTCTTAAAGAAATCTCTAGTCTTTCCCACTCTATAGTTTTCTTCTATTTCTTTGCACTTTTCATTTAAGAAGGCCTTCTCATCTCTCCTTGCTATTGTCTGAAACCCTGCATTCAATTGGGTATATCTTTCCCTTTCTCCCTTGCCTTTTGCTTCTCTTCTTTTCTCTGTTATTTATAAAGACTCCTCAGACAAACACTTGGCCTTCTTGCACTTCTTTTTCTTAGGGATGTTTTTGGTCCCTGCTTCCTGTACAATGTTACGAACCTCTGTCCATCGTTCTTCAGATACTTTATCTACCAGATCTAATCTCTTGAATCTATTTGTCCATCACCTCCACTGTATAATCATAAGAGGTTTGATTTAGGTCATACCTGAATGGCCTACTGGTTTTTCCTATTTCTTCAAGTTAAGCCTGAATTTTGTAATAAGGAGCTCATGATCTGAGCCACAGTCAGTTCCAGTTTTTGTTTTTACTGACTGTATAGAGTTTCTCCATCTTTGGTTGCAAAGAACATAATAATTTGATTTTGTTGTTGACCATCTGGTAAAGTTCATGTGTAAACTCATCTCTTGATTTGTTGAAAAAGGGTGTTTGCTATGACCAGTGTGTTCTCTTGACAAAGCTCTGCCCCAACCACTGATGCTGAAGAAGCTGAAGTTGACCAATTCTATGAAGTTGGCTTAATACCTCAATTATCATATTTTTACATAAAAGTCATCAGATATATGCAAATGTTGGGGATTATTTTTTTAAGAACTGGCAATTTACCAAGTAAGAAACAGCTATGAGAACACTAAAAATCCTAGAACTTTGAAAAGTTTGGGAATCTGGAAGCCTACAGAACCATTATGTTAGTCAGTTGTGCTCCGTCTCTGGCAGTCCTGTGTGATGCAGTTGAGTGAGTGGTTGACCAGTATCCTGAGGACATGCAGAAAATGGCTGAGGACAGGAGCACTGTGGGAGATGCACACCAGGTTGCCTTGGTGACAGGAAATGGAAGAAGGCCCTAAGTGCACCTCCCAACATTCGGGTAACACTTGGGTAATATGATATCACACAGGAACTAGGATGAGTAAACCAACCACAGACATCCACAGGATGCTGGCTGTGGGTGGTGGGTTTTTGGTCTCTCTAAGAATCATGTGCATAGTGGAATTTGCAATAGCAAGATGCACTATCAGATTTATAGCTTCAGGTAAAGAGTTCACCAAATAGCTGGACTAGTAGTCAGATTATCCCAACTCTTGCCCTGCCTGAGGGACTGCAAGGAACAGAGGAGTATACGGCTTCATAAAGGAATGTTTGCTGTGACACAGATGAGTAGTATCACACGTGTGAGTGGTTGTTCTGCTATAGAATGATATAGGGAGATACAAAAGGAAGGAAGCCAAATACAGGAAAGAGAAACATTGTCTGCTGCTTTGCCTTTCTCATCAAAGTCTTCTAATACTCCCCAGTCCTGTTGCATCTAGGAAAACCGTTATACACATCATCAACCAAGTGACAGGTCTTTATTTTTAGTTCATTACGGAAACCCTGCTACCCAAATGATGCCTGACAGAAAAATCTCCTGTTGGTAAGGACCTTTTCTCAAGCCAAGGTTAACCTCAGAATTCCTTAGTTATCCCCTGGGCTTGCACAGCAAGTCGGTTTTCCTTAATTCCATAAACTCCTATGACTCCTAGTTACATACCAACCACTGTTTTTCAGAAAGGAAACTAGTGTTTATACCAATAAGAGCCTAAATTCTGGAGTTAGACTAGCTGTGTTCAAATCACGGCTTCCTCACTCAGTTGGCTTATATCATCTAGGACAAGTCATCCTTTCTGCCTCAGTTTCCTTGCCAGTAAAATGGGGTTAACAATATGATAATAGTATCTCTTCATAGAGATGTGACAAGTACTAATTGAATATGTGTGTGTGTGTGTGTGTGTGTGTGTGTAGAGAGAGAGTTTAGAACAGTGTCTAACACACAGTAACCCCTTTATAATTTTTTGATATTATTATATAGACAAAATCACATTTCTCTCTATGAAACTTCCTCCAATCTTCATCATTATACACAGATCTCATTAGATATATCTCACTAATGAGAACTATTTGTGGATCAAATGTTGTTAACTGGCTTAAGACACTTTGGTGTACAATTGTCAGTGTCTTCGTGGGGCCTCTGCCAATTTGTCCCCTTAGAGTCTGGTGTCCATGAGCTCAAACCTCCTGACCAGAACCCCTTGAGAAAACTGAACCAGATGTCATGATGTCGTAGAGCCAGATCCAGCCATGCTTCTCATCAGGTCAGGTGACAGAATCCTACACTAAGTAGCAAGCAGGGGACTAAACAAACACCCAGGCCTAGAGCACCATTCTGGGCTCACACAAAACTGATGCCCCATTCATTCAAAGGTAAGATGCCCGTGCATCACACATCCCTCAGTAATCATCCATGTCACCAATAAATTGTTAAGCTATTTCTAGCACCTCTTATGCTAAAGAATAAGGGAAACCCATATTCCCCATTAGAGCACTTCAAAGTGTTCATTAACAACTTATACTTCCTAGGTGATGCAGTGGTAAAAAATTCACCTGCGAAGGCAGGAGACACAGAAAACCAGGTTTGGATTCCTGGTTCAGGAAGATCCCCTGGAGAAGGAAATGGTAACCCACTCCAGTACTCCTGCCTGGGAAATCCCATGAACAGAGGAGCCTGGTGGGCTACAGTCCATGGGGTCACAAAGAGACACGACTGAGCACGCATGCACAGGGTGAATATTAAAACTATTTTTTAAAGCACACTTATCTTGCTGTGCTGAAGTATTTCAATTATGACAATAGTCACCTAATGTCAGTAGAACTCTCAGACAAAAAAAACATGGTTTTTTTGTAAGGTGACAGCATACCTATTGACGATTTTTGAAGATGTTCATAGATTCCTCATTAAAAATGAATAATTAAAATAACATCAGCTGATAAATGCTCTCTTTGCAAGGAACGTTTACAGTTCCTGACTTGTTAATCACCAAAAAATGTGTTTTCAGCTATGTGGGTGGGTTGGAAGTGATTCTTCATGTGACTCAGGCACTAACTAGATCTCCTTAATTCCAGGATTATCAGTGGGAAGTGGTTTTCAAAGAAATAGATTTTTGATGAAGCAAATGGAATTTCAGAACTTAAATATCAATGTATTGACATAGAAGTTCTTTTTAACTCTTGCAATCTGTAGAAAACAACTTTGATTTACAGTACAGAAGTCATGCAGTCAATATGGTGGGACAGAATTCACTGACGTGTTTATTTAGGGCACACCTCACCCCTTTGCTTTTGACACTGAACCAAAAGTAGGTCATGGTAGGCAAAATATTAAAAGAAAATAAAGATATTTCTTTTTAGTGTCTGATGGTACATATATTTGTCTCTCACTAATTGCACAGAGGGCAGCAGGAGGGCGCAGATTTTCTGCAGGATAAGGGAGAGAAGGCAGAAGGAAGGAAGATTAAGAAGGCCAATTGCTGAAGACAAGTTTCATCTAATTGGAAGTGGCTGATATATCACTAAAATCCTGAACCAAAAATTGTTTTGCTTTTTGTTGTTGTGTTAGGGGAAATGAAGGAAGCTTATGATTATTCAGTCAGTTCAGTCGCTCAGTCATGTCTGACTCTTTGCAACGCTATGGACTGCAGCACACCAGGCTTCCCTGTCCTTCACCAACTCCTGGAGCTTGCTCAAACTCATGTCGATCGAGTCGGTGATGCCATCCAACCATCTCATCTTCTGTCGTCTCCTCCTCCTGCCTTCAATCTTTCCCAGCATCAAGGTCTTTTCAAATGAATCAGTTCCTTGCGTCAGGTGGCCAAAGTACTGGAGCTTCAGCTTCAGCATCAGTCCTTCCAATGAATATTTAGGACTGATTTCCTTTAAGATTGACTGGTTTGATCTCCTTGCAGTTCAAGGGACTCTAAAGAGTCTTCTCCAACACCACAGTTCAAAAGCATCAATTTTTCCATGCTCAGCTTTCTTCTTATGGTCCAACCCTCACATCCATACATGACTACTGGAAAAACCATAGCTTTGACTAGACGGATCTTTGTCAACAAAGTGATGTCTCTTTTTTAATATGTTGTCTAGGTTATGATTATTAAGGCATAGCAATTCATGGGGGTGTAAACACGAAACTGTTTAACTGTCTCCAGACTGGTCTGGTAGAATCCCTCTTTTCTCAGGTCAGTGAACCCTCTTATCTTACAATGTCTCCATCTAATTCCATAACCTCCCAGTCTCATTTCTAATGCTCAGCCCTATTCATTTCCAAACTTCAATCTGAAAACCAAAACTATAAAACTTCAATGTCCACGTAGTGGGAGTGGGGATGGGAGATGTGTCTACTATCATACTTGCATCTTCGCCCTCTTTCCCAGACAAGAGCGCCTTAGGTCTGGAGGAGGGAATGAGAATCTCCTTCCCTGGCTCCTTTGGATAGGGGTGGGGGTAGGGAGTGGGGAAGGTGGTGGTGGGGGTAGGTGCTACCACAGAGGCTGCTGCTGCTTCTCTAACACCAACAGCTTCTCTTTCCCCTCTTGAGTTGCGGGTGTCGGCTCTCCCTGAGTCACATGTCCCAGCCCACAGCCTCCTGACAGAGAATCTAGCTCAACTCAGCCCCTTCTCTCCCTCAACCCAAGTGGTCCTCAGGCTCACATGCTCTTGAATGGGAAACTGACGAGATGGCTCAAGCTCAGCTACTTTGTCTGCTCCACTTACAGGAAATCCCATCCTTGCAGTACAAATTGTGGAAATGCAGTCTGGAGTCTCATTAAGAGTGAATTAGAAAAAAAAAAAAAGAGTGAATTAGAGCACTTTGTAGGAGACCAGGGGAACGATAGAAAACAATCTGTCATTAACTTAAAGGCAAGGCAGTGTTCCTGGAAGTAATGCGATTCCAAGTTGAGTGGAGCCGATAGAGTAAGCCACCAATCCATCTCCTAGCTCCAAACATTACTTTAATGCCCAGAACACAAATAAAGAATACATCAGGTGCTTTAATTGGTAAGACAGATATGAAGTTTGATTTTAGCTAATAGAGAAGAGATAACAGTTCTACTGAAGCCACACCCATTCCCTCTCACACTTGCGGTGGAAGCTAATACCTTCAGAGCCTCCACCCCCCCAGTGTTCTAAATCTTACCCTAATAGTGCTTTCATCCTATCCATCCTGTCATTGTGTCTAACTCTTTGGGACCCTATGGACTATAGTTCACCAGGCTCTTATGTCCACGGGATTCTCCAGGCAACAATACTGGAGTGGGTTGCAATTCCTTTTCCAGATCTTCCCCACCCAGGGATTGAACCTGAGTCTCATGTCTCCTGCATTGACGGGTGGATTCTTTACCACTAGTGCCACCTGGGAAGTGCTTTCACCTGATACAATGCGGTCACTGAAAATCAGTTTTGATGTCTTCTTCCTGAAAGAAGTGAAAGAAGAAAGTGAAGTCGTTCAGTCATGTCCAACTCTTTGCAACCCCATGGACTGCAGCCTGCCAGGCTCCTCCATCTGTGAGATTTTCCAGGCAACAATACTGGAGTGGGTTGCCATTTCCTTCTCCAGGGGATCTTCCCAACCCAGGGACTGAACCCCGGTCTCCCACACTGCAGGCAGACTCTTTGCCGTCTGAACCACCAGGGTGAGACCCACTCCAAACACCTTCCTTGTTTTCTTACTCACTAAACTTAATTGATGAGCTCTATCTTCTCAGCACCCATATTTTCTGTTCTCTTTGGGGAGTCAAGGGACAATTCTGGGACTTAAGTCCCTAGACTATTTTTTAACTTTTTATTATGGAAATTTCCAAACATTAATAAAAGTAGAAAGAATAATATGATAAATGCATATACTCACCACCCAGTTCAATTACCAACTCATGACTAAGCTGTACCCCTACCTACCTTCTCTTTCTTCTGGACCATGTGTCCCAAATAAAAGAACTCTTTTTTTTGTTGTTGTTTTTATCAACACACCTAAAAAATAAACAGTAATTCTTTTTTTTTTTTTTAGTAATTCTTAATTATTATTAACTATCTAGTCTATACTCAAATTTCTACAGCAGTGTCATAAACTGGAATCCTAACAAGGTTTATCTTTTAGGTTTATCTGATGGAAACATTTCTTGCATAAATCAGATTACATTAAGGTTATGCTGTGGTGGCAAACAACTCGAAAATCACAATAGCTTATGACAGGTTGGGTTTCTTTCCTGCTCACGTGAATTTCCGTTGTTAGTCAGCTCTGCATCCTCTTCACTCTTGGCCAGAAGCTGAAGAAACAGTCCCTATTTGGGATACACCCACTTCCTGGCAGATGGAAATGAGAAATGGTCGAAACACAATGACTTTTAAAACTTCTGCTTAGAAGTAGCAACCATCGCATCTGCTCACATTTCATTTGTCAAAGAAAATCACATGGCCAAAGCTGATGTCAGAGGGGAAGAAGGGAAGAATAACTCTCACAGGAGAGGGCAGCAAATACTGGGAGTAATACAATCTATCAGAGCTTATAAGCCTCTTTTAATTTATAGATTCCCTTTCTCATGTTTTTACTTTCTATTTTTTTTCAACTTACTAGTTGAAGAAATGGGGTCATTTATGCTGTAGAATTTCCTATTTTCTGGATTTTGCTAATTGCATCCCTTTGCACACTTATTCAACATAGTGCTTTGCCACCTCTACTTCTTCTAAACTTGTGTTTAAATACAGAGGCATTATCAGATGCAGGTTTTTGGTCAAGGATACTTTCTAGATGGTCATGAATGTTCTGTTAATTATCTCTTTTCTAACAAATCATCCCCAAATTTGGTGACTTAAAACAATAATCATGTATTATCTCATGGTTTCTATGGATCAGGGATTCAGACGGGCACAGAGGAATGGTTTGTCTCTACTTTATGATTTCAGGGGCCTAGCTAGAAAATGGAAATGCTGGGAGGCTAAGTCATTTGAAGGCTTGACTGAGACAGGTTTGTTCAAGGTGGCTTGTTTACTTGTTTAGCAAGTTAGCGTTGGTAAATTGGTCTTTTCTCTGCTGAGGTGCTGGCTTGTCCACAGAGCTGCTTGAGCATCCTCACAACATGGTGACTGACTTCCCCCAGAGTGATTGATCCAAAGGACCAACACTGAAGCTGCAGTATGTTTTCTGACCTAGTTTATTATTAAAAATTCATACAGTGACACTTCCATTCATTACAAAATCAGCCCTTATTCATTGTAGAATGTCTACACAAAGGCATGGGTACCAAGAGAGAAGGTTCACTGAGGGCCACCTTGGGGTCTGGCTACTATATGTATCAAGTGGTTTTCATGTTAAAACAATAAGTAGAGACAATCTATATCTTGTTGTGTGAGACAATGGTTTCTAGCATTTGTGATGTCATGGTCCAGTAGGATTTCAGAGGGAAAAATAGGGCCTAAGTGAAACTATTTAATCTTTATTTCATAATGTAAAGCCACTTAAAAGATGTATCCTATTAAAGCTACGATTATCATTGTTATCTTTTTTTTTTTAAAAAAAAGGCCTTTATCACCCAAAAGTTCACTATCTCAAAATGAAGAATAATCATTTTATTTTATTATTCATTTATTTATCTAATTTTGGTTGCACCATGTGGCTTATGAGATCTTAGTTCCCCAATCAGGGATTGAACCTGAGCCCACAGCAGCGAAAGTACTGATTTCTAAGCACTAGACCACCAGGGAATTCCCAAGAATGATCATTTTAGGTGTGGAGCATGGAGAACTCTCCTAAACTGTGGTGGGAATGGATATTGGGAATCCACTTGGAAAACACTCTGTAGTCTAGTTGAGAATCCACATACTCTAGCCTAGGTACATTCCTAGGTAAATGCCTTAAAGAAATGTACACACACACCAGGAATCATGTACAAGAATGTTTATAGCAGCACATTAATAATAGCTGGAAACAAATCAAATGCCCATCAACAGCATAGACAGACAAATTGATGTATATTCATACTGTACTATTCCATTTATATCAATTTCCCAAAAAACAATACTGAAGTATAGTGCTTTGGGATACATGCTTAGTTGAAAAAAAGTTTAAAAAAAAAGGACCAAGAGTATGATTATTATAAAGATCAATTCATGGTTACCTTTTAGGGGAGGAAGGGTTTTCTGATTTTGAAGAGTCACAGTTGGAGACTGTTAGGGTGCTGCCAATATTTTATTTATTGATCTGAGTGATAGTTACACAGATATTGCCTTGACAACTCAATAAGTGGCACATTTAATGTTTTTCTTCTGTTTTGTGCTATATTTTACCATAAAAAGGGGAGTTTTAAGAAGGAAAAATAATAGTCATTTTAATTAAAAATTTTAGCTTTAAGAGAGACTTTAAAAAAAAAAGACCATCTGTTCTTTCTCAGCTCCATCATTCCTTTCTCACCCCTTTTTCCATACGGGGTGTCAGCAGGATCTCTGCTGGTTCCAGTACTGGCAGCTTCATGAGAGACACTCTCACATGTTCCTGACTCAGTGAAGGAGGA